GTACTCAATATATATTAGTTTTCTTCCTTTTCTATAGAAATGTGTCTAAGAATAAAATGATAAATTGTAGTTACAGGTCCCCAAGGTTATACTCCTATACTTGGTCTAGAATGCCAAATTTATCTGTAAACATGACTCAACAAAAATAAACTACATGCCACACCATGTATGAATCTCAGTCACACAATGTTGAATAAAAGAAAGCCAGGCACTGAATACTATATACTGTATGATGTAATTTATGTATACTTAAAAAGCAAAAACAAAAATTAAACAGGGGAAAGTAATTAATGGTGTAAAAAGTCAGGTTAGTAGTTTCCCTTGAAGGAAAGTTGGACTTGGAAGGAGGGGTTTCCTGGGCTTCTGGTGATAATCAAGATGTTTCTTGATCTGGGTGTTGGTTACATGGATATTTTCACTTTGTAAAAACTCATCAAGCCGTATAATTATGAGTTGTGTAATTTACTTTATGTAGGTTCTATTTCTTTTTTAAAAAATTATTTTATTTAACTTTGTTTATTTATTTATTTTAATTTGACCAAAGAGGGACAGAGCGAGAGAGAGAAAGTGAGAAAGCAAGCCACCAGGTCCAGGACTCGAACCGTGGTCAGCCATGTGGGAGTCCAGCACCCTTAACCAACACACAATCTGCCGGCCCCATAGGTTCTATTTGAATAAGAATTTTTTTTTTTAATTAACAGAAAAAAGAATGTAAAGTTCTCTGTTGAAAAAGAATCTGTAAATTTTGCTTTATAAAAACAACAGTTAGGCGGCTAGCAGGTGGCATGGTGGTTAAGGTGTTGAACTTCCACAGGGAGACCGGTACCTGGCAGCTTGCTTTCTCACTTTCCTTCTCTTTCTAAACAAATTAAAAATGAATAATAATGATAATAATAACTAAAATTAAATAAATACTTTAAAAATTTTGGAGCGGGGCCAGTCCATGGCATGATGGTTGAGGTGGCTGGATTCTGCATGGCTGACTGTGCCATTGGAGTCCTGGATCTGGCCTCTTGAAAAATTTACCGGCACATGTGTGTGCATGCCCCAAATCCTGAAAAGAGGGAGAAATAGAGACATAATTGCCATATGACTATTCCCCATGGGGTGGAGAGGCGTCCTTTCTCACTTTCTCTCTCTCTTTCTCTCTGTCTTTCTCTCCCCTCATCCCCCACCCAGCAAGCCCCCACATCCCCTTTGGTAAATTAAAAAGCAATTGTGGAGCCCATTACTACAATGGTATAAATAAGAACAATTAAGCAGCAATGTCACAAAGTAGACTAGTTCTATATGAATCTGTTCCTGTTTTATGGGTTTTATTATGGTGTCTTCTAAGAGAAACCAATCTGGCTTATAGTTTATGGTATGTATTGGGGTCTAATCTAGGAGAACACAATCTGGCTTCTGAGAAACTCATGTAAATAATGGAAATTAATAATTATTTAATCTGTAAAAAGTTTTAGTGATTTTGATCTCTTGAAAAATTGAAAAAGTATCTTCTTACTACTATATTGCATTTTAATTTAGATGTCCAAGGTGAAGATCATGCTGAATGATGCCTAATGAGAGCTTCCACTACTCTTTTTTTTTGGAGAGGTTTTCACTATAGGGCGCATGCACTCGCCAGACAGACAGAGAGAGACATAGAGACAGAAAGCGAGAAATCACCCCCCAAAGGGGATGGTCACGCCGCAATCCCTTCTCCTCCATTCTCCTCCCAGGATCTTCAGCACGCATGCACACGCACGCAGTGTGAGTTCCAAGCCACCGGGTCCGGGACACGAACCGCGATTGACTACGTGGGAGTCCAGCGACATAGCCATTACGCTAACTGCTGGTTCCCTCCACTACTCTTTTTAGAAATTGTGAGTCTTTCCAGCAATTTTTCTCAAGCCCTACTTCTAATGAACCTCATTCTTTGCTGAACTTTAACTTCCTTTCACCACTTTCAGTTGGTGAGCTCCTTGGTGATCTTTATATTTTTACATGGGTTTGTGCCAACTAAGAATTCTTATTCTATGTCGCCAATTTTAAAAAACTTCAATAGTACCTCCCTTGGTTATTGGCCTAGGATTGAAGCTTGGAAGTGCTAAGCGTCTCTAAATTTACCTGGAAAATTCTTCTTTACAAACTTGAAGTTAATTTTTTAACTCCTTAGACATCCCTTGTTAACATATTAATATTAAAGATACAGGTAGCATAGACTATAACAGTGCAGACTGAATAATAGATTTTTCTAATTATATTATTGTATTTAACTTTTAGCTTGGAACTTGGCTGTGCAGTCTGACAAAGACCCAGTAACAATGAGAGAGTTTTTCATACTTTCTTATAAGGTAAATCTCTTCTGATAAGTATCTCTTGTATGGACAACAAGGATATGACCACTATCACTATAGTAAAGGGCTAAGTGTAGAATGGGAATAACTTTTGATCAAAGAACTTTTAATGTATGTATAAGCAGGATTGACCTAAAGGGAATTTACTTCCTATAGGGTATAGTGTAAGAACAGGGAGCAAATTTCCCTATACCAAAAAAATCGCAAACATCCATCACAAAGCCTAAAGTTCTACCATTAGGGATTTATTCCTTTGCCTTAGAAGGGATTTCAGTCCCTCATATATATTACCATATTTGTCATCTTTAACAAATAACACCATATCATGTTGTGCACTTTTGATATTCATTCTACTAGTTTTTTTGAGCAAGAGAGAGATACACTTACACACACACACACACACACACATACACACACACACATACACACACGATCGGCAATGCCTTCACCCTCCTGATTTTCTACTCTGTTGTGTTATACCATTTGCCTGTTTACATGCATTCTTATGTCTGTTAAACATTTTTTCCTGAGCCCATCCGCTGCCACTCCTCATTTCCATGTAGTCTCTGATGTCTACAGTTCCTCTCTCTACTTCTATGTCTTTGAATCTTTGAATTTCTGCCATCAAGTGCAGACATTTAGTATATGTTAAGTAGGGACATACTGTGTTTGTCTTTCACAGCCTGACGTATTTAATTTAGCATTAGATCTTCTATCAGAGTTCTATATTAAAATATAAATATCTTTTTTGAGGGGAATACTCCAAGCATTTGTCAATTAGGAATGGTTATAAAATAGGTCTATAAGAATATAGAGTATCTGGGGTTTAAAAAGAAAGTAAGAACCTTGGGCCTACTTTTGAACTTTTCCTAGACTAGATTCTGTGTGTAAGAATTTGTGAGATTTTAATTTAATTATTAATGTAAATACTACATTTAAATTTTATTTATTATTATTTTTTTAAATGCGCTATAGGGCATGTGCGCTCACCAGAGAGAGAGAGGAAAAGTGAAAAAGCAAGCCACCAAGTCCAGGACTCAAACCATGGTCAGTCATGTGGAAGTCCAGTGCTATAACCACCACACCACCTGCCGGTCCCCATATAAGCATTAGTTGTTAGCCTCTAAGGTAGAAGTAAAATGCCAAAAAGCAGGCTGAGTGTTGATGGGGAAGCAAAAAGAGGGGCTAAAGAACGTTCTTAATACACATTCAGAAGTACACAGTTTGATATGTGGAGATCAATTTAACATTAAGAGTTTTAGAGCTGGAAAGAGCTATAGAGATAATCTAGCACAACTCCCTCATCTTACATAAGAGTAACCTGAGACCTAAAGAGACTGGGTGTCTTGAAATACATTAATTCAATGATAGTAATGATTGTGACCACTAAATGTTTGGGGAGATTAACAAATAGTCTTTGTGAAAGTAAGCTGGTGAGGTGGTGGTTAAAGCTCTGGATTCCACATAACTGACATTGCAGTTCAAGTCCTGGACCATCCAGCTTGAATGTTCATGCTTGCCCAAAATACCAAGAGGAAAATGGATGGCCACATGGCCATCCCTCCAAAATGATTTATCGCTTTCCTTCTCTGTCTCTCTCTGTTGATTACACATACCCTATAACAAGAGAAGAGAGAGAGAGAAAAATAGTTTTTGCAAGTTTAGGTATAACTGCCTTTAAAAAAATGCCACAGGGCATGGGTTCTCTCCAGAGAGAGAAAGCACCCTCTGCCCCATGGGTCACGGTCACACTGCAATCTTTTTTTTTTTTTCTATTTCTTCACCTTGTCAGGATTTGGGGCATGCACACACACATGCCTGGCATGTTTTTCAAGCCATTAGGACTGAGATTCAAATCTCAGTCAGCCATGTGGGATCTAGCTCCAATGCAAAACAATTAATTACTGTGCTACATGGCCAGCCCTTATTGCCATTTTAATTGGTAAAATAAATTAGTTTTAGCTTTGACATTCGTGATAGAACTTGTAGGAGTGATGGGCCCGCAGGTGGCTTGGTGGTTAAGGGCACTGGACTCCCACATAGTCAACCACAGTTCGAGTCCTGGACCTGGCATCTTGCTTGCTCACTTTCTCTCTCTCTCTCTCATTCTGTCTCTCTCTGGTAAAATTGAAATAAATGAATGAAGTTAAAATAATTCTTTAAAACAAGAATTATATATTTAAAACAAACAAACAAAAGATCTTGTAGGATTGGCATGAAAGAATGGCCTGGGATTTTATTATAGTATAAAGTTGGAAGGTTTTTCTAAAACTAGAGGACAAGGTTTAATGATGAGGTCATACCTAATACCTTTCAAAGTCTGACATTGTTTCCTTCAACCATGAAAATATATGTGCTAATTTTAGCCCTACTCAACAGAAAAGAGAAATCTATTTGCCAGGAAAAATATCACCTAGAAATTATTGCATAAACCAAGAATTAAATCACTAGATAGAAATACAGGGGCAAATGTCAGTATTTGTCATTGGACAGATAGGAAAACTGTGAAGGAATGAAGCCTTTTTATCTCTAGGAAGGTGCTACAAACAATGGGAAGTAATATAAAATTAAGACCATAAATCAGTGTTATAGTCTATTTCATTTTTATGGTGACATGTGCTTTTCCAGATGAATTTTCTCATTTAGACAGGATGTTGCTGATTTTCATTCTGATTGTTTGTGTTCACCTGGAAGAATTCTCACTATTCATTGACGTCTGGTTATTTCTTATCAGCTGTCCCAGTTTTGTCCTTCTGATCAAGTAATTCTGATTGCACAGAAAACATGTTTATTTATGGCAGCTGCAGTTGATCTAGAGCAAGGGAGAAAAGCTTCAACAACTTTTGAACAGGTAATGTGCAACCTTCACAAAAAATAGAAGTTTGGTATGCCATTTAGTAAGTTTGCCTTTCCAGATGCACTTCTTTTTCATTCTCTTCTTGCCATGGCTAAGGTAGAGCTTTTGTCCTACAAACAGGGACTGGATAAAGGAATAGAACTCCAGCCTGAAAACTGGGCTTGTTTATAATATGACTTCTATAATACAGACCTGAAGGAATGAGGCATGCTAGCAGTCTGACCCTCCAGAGAATCCTTAGCCTGAAAGCTAGGGATAGAGTCCTGTCTTCTTGATTACATCCACCTAAATTAGCATTTACATTACACTGAGCTGGATGGTGGTGAGTGGTCATGGTTCAGATGTTGTAGTTTCTCACTATTCTTACTGAGACTTAGCAGACTACCTGAAATAAATGTACCTTCCTTTTGGGTATGCCCTCATGGCAATTTCCTGAGACTTTATATGATTTTTGTCTTACAATTTTCACTAGTTAAGATTGTTTTGCTGGGGAGAGGGTCCATGGAACTCCTCATACCAACTTTCTGGAAGTACTTCTCTTTTGCTCTAGATTATTGAATATACTGACAATGCTCAAGGTTTTCTATTTAATCCTCATTTTCCTGGCACAATGAGGAAATGTGCAAATAGAAGCAAATATTTCTATATAAACTCAAAAATTTTCAGTTTAAATTATCATTTTATTTTTAACTGTTTTTAATGAAAATTATATGAAGTTATATTAATTTACTTAATGCTCTTTTCTGTTGAGACTAATTATCTGATTGCATTGTTGCCAAATAGACCAGATTACTGAATCGTGCACTTGAGCAGATTCATAAATGTAAGGACATCTGGAATCTTCTGAAACAAACAGGTACAGTGGGAACTGAAAGTTTGGTAACACAGTGATGAAGCGTGTTTAAGAATCGCAATAACCGGGGAACCAGCAGTTAGAGTAATGGCTATGTCGCTGGACTCCCACGTAGTCGACCGTGGTTCGTGTCCCGGACCCGGTGGCTTAAAACTCACGCCGGGCACGTGTGCGTGCGTGCCCAAGATCCCGAGAGGAGAATGGAGGAGAAGTGATTGCGGCGTGACCATCCCCCCTGGGGGGTGATTTCTCGCTTTCTGTCTCTATGTCTCTCTCTGTCTGTCTGGCGAGCGCACGCGCCCTACAGTGAAAATCTCTCCAAAAAAAAAAGAATCTCAATAACCAAGTCTTGCCACCCAAATTGGTGCCACTGCAGTACTTGATAATCGGTGAAATGAGTTTTTAACAACGAATTTCTCCTCACTATATGTTGATATTTTGACTCCATACACAGTGCTTGAAGTAAAAGTATTTTTTAATTTTCTTTACATGAAAGTATAATATTAAATATTAAAATGGGATCGTCATTGCTCAACATGACATTATTGCTCTTAAGTCACTAACTTTAATGTCTAATTTAATCAAGCTTTGCCTTGAAGTGTAAGCTACTGAGTCTTCCAATTCACGATTGGGATACTGCTGATATTTTTAATGAAATTATCAAAATAGTAGTAAACCTTTTGAGGTTATATAATAGTTTGCTACTGTTTATTCATTAAAGATAGTATTGTATTTTATGTTTAGATAGATATTTTTATAGTGTGCTCATCTGGTTTTGTCTTAGAATTTTAAAAAATCAATGGATATTGATTTGAATAACATACTCTTCACAATTTATGGAGATAATCATATGATTTTTCTCTTTTGATTTATTAATATATTGAATCACAACAATAGATTTTTCTAAAATTGTCATAATTGCATTCCTGAACTAAATCCTATCTGGTCATGTGTATTATTTTCATATGTTGATGAATTCTGCTTTATCATATTTAGAAGTGATTGATTTCTTATTGTATGTGTGATATCTTTGACAGATTTTTGGTAGCAAACAATAGGAATTATAAGGAAAAACATAAGCATAGAAAATTTAAGATACTTTTCTCAACCTATGATAGCCACTTAAAAGTGAATAAGAACAACAAAAAGCAAGGATAAAGAAAAACCAAATAATATACTTCTTATGAAATATTTGTATTGTATTGCCTGAAAATATACTCTATATACTGAGAACAAGAAACATATCTTCTTTTCAAGTGTTCTTTGAATATTTACAAGATTGATGACAAGGATAACTTGAATAAATTCTAAGACATGTAAATGAAACAACATTGTCTGAAAATAATGCAAAAACTAGAAACTAATAATAAAATCAGGAACATCCCCCTCCCAGGACTTGGACTTTATTTTTAAAAATCCAAACTACGGAATATTCAAAAAATAATGATAAGGAAAGTGCCTCATACCAGAATCTAAATTGATAAAGCAGTGCTCAGAACAAAATCTATAACCTCAATGACTTTTTTTAGCAAAAGTATATCAGAATGCTAGCAGTCCACCAAAAAATATCATTTTTTTTCTTTCTAGGAGATCAACTAGATCATAGAGCTCCTTCTCTCTCTCTCTCTCTCTGTGTA